AAATAGTTTCTTTATACCACAATAATAATTATCAGCGATTGAAATAATGTATAAAACAAACCAAAGGAAACTTAAATATTAGTTAAAAAATCGTGGGTACTTAATCAGATTTAATTTAATAAGATAATTATATATAAAAGTGATATTTTTATACAAAAATTATTGCAGAATCGTATAAGAAGAAAAATCAAACAAAATTGATTTTTTTTTCATTACAGCGTCATCTATTACAAATATGAAAAAATGTTTTAGACAAAATCTACCTATTTTTAGTCAAATGATCCGAATCTGCAATAAAAAAATATTGTGTTCCATTGGAAATTTTAAAGTTACCCCCTGTTACCCCTATAAGGAGAAGAGTATGAGGACCAATTTTAGTACTGATTGATTTCCCCCCCTCGAATCATTTAATTTTAATTTATTTTTTTTTTCGTAAAATGCACTTACTGAGATATTTCAAAGTTTCAAGTTAAATGACTCACCTTCAGTGGCGTAACAAATTCTGAGTGGGCTCCCCCGCAAACGATTTTAATGGGCCCCCTTTACAATGAGTAAAAAGTTTATTATTACCTTTAGGTAATTTTTAAATAGGTTTCTCATAGTACTTTTAAACCCACATTAAATACATAATATTTTTTAGTTAAAATTTTTGACAGGTAGATAAAGAGTGTATACGATAGACAGGCATAACTTATGTCACATAAGATAAGCAAATAAAAAAGGATTAGTTAAGAAAAATGGCTGTGTTTTTAATAAAAACTGTTTATCGAAAATATGCTTCTTTGCAAATTCGCTCATGCGTAAAAACTTATTTAAGTTCATGTGTAGGTAGTTATCGTTTGTTAACGGAATTATAATTATCGCCGTGACTAGAAGTACACCGGGAGTACGGGCATTAAACGTACATCAGGTTTGTGCGCATGCGTGTTTTCATACCAGCTGATGGTAAAATTTCGGATTTATTAGTTGAGATTAAATTGGTACACTAAGGCCCAGTTGTATAACAGTTGGTAAACAGCTGGTTAACTCTTGATATTAATTATGTAATTATTAAGCTAACTTTCAAGTTGTATAAACATTGATTAAAATTTAATTAAGTGATTGAAATACAATTAACAACAAAATTAATAAAATGTCAGTATAAATTACCCAAACCAACCCAAACTCAACAACCCAACCGACCCCGCCCCATTGGGCCCCCCGCCCCATTAAGGAACAACAAATTTATAAAATAAAAAAATAAAAAAAGTTCGACAACTTCCAGTAGTATCGAACCCGGTACCTCTAGCATGCCAAGCGACCGCCTTACCATCTGTATTTTTTTTAATCCATTGAAATTTTAATAATATTTAATCAATAAATATTTTTCTTTTTAGAGCAAAAGTCAAGATAAGAAAAGTCATCTAGAATATAAATTATAACCCTTTTTACATTTTTGAATCATCAAACCACAATAAAAATGGAAAAACCATGGAATTGACTAGAACTTTGATTTTGTCCTCAAATAACTTTTGAACCATTCAAGTTAGCAAAAAATCACAAGAAACCTTTTTTGTAGAGCGTTAAATTTGTTACAAGAATATTTATCCTTCTATTTAATCCGTTTATTAGTTCATTACTTAAAAAAATCCAAAGTAATAACAGAACTTTTCCCATGTTATTTCCATTTAAAACATTGGCTGTCGGGGGGGGGGCGGCTTAATTTTAAAATTAAGAGCTGCAATTTGGCACATTAGATTTTTTTATATATTTGGAACCTATTTAGGACTATCGTGAAGAAAAATTCGAACACACCCTAAATAAGGACCACCCCAATTTTCATTTCAAAACTTGCCACGCCTATTATTTCCATATATATATTTTTTTTTAAATCGCCGAGACCCGTCAATTTTGTTTTTGAGGGGGAACAATTTTGACGTATAAATTAGCTCTCCCCCTTTAACCCCCTACCCTCCAGAGCCACCCCTACAAAAATCTTAAATGAGAAAGGGGGTCGAGTGATACTTCATTTCAAAGGGCTTTTTATTCTCTATATTTTGGCATATTATTTTTCAAATTTGGGTGTTGCGTTGCCGAGTTAGGCGTGTGTCAATTTGAAAATGGTTTATACTTTGGCGGAAAGAATAGAGATTATCTACATTTACGGAAGTGAAAATCGTTGTGCTCGTAGGACAGCAGCAGTTTTTAACGCTAGACATCCTGCTAAACATGCAAGCCACCAGTATGTACTTGATTTGGTAAGAAAATTTGACGCGACTGGTTCGGTGTGTAATATAAAAACTCGTCAACCAAGAATTTTGGACGAGGCAACGCAGATTGAAGTTCTTGGTAATTTTTCTATGGATCGTAATACTTCAATTCCGAAAGTAGCCAAGTTAACTCACATTTCTGTTGGTTCAGTACATAAGGTACTTAAACTAAATAAGTTTTTTCCCTACAAACTGCAAATTCATCAACAACTCAGTGAAGACGATTATGACAGAAGGATACAGTTCTGTGAAGAAATTACTAGAAAAATTACAGATAATCCAAATTTGTTAAAAAATATTTGCTTTAGCGATGAATCGACATTTTTCTTAAATGGATTTGTGAATAGGCACAATTGTAGGTATTGGAACAATGAAAATCCACATGTGTTTCGACAGGACCATACACAGTATCCTGAGAAGATCAATGTGTGGGCAGGAATTCTGGGGGATGAGATAATCGGACCTATTTTCATAGAAGAAAATCTGACTGGACACCTCTATTTAGAACTTTTAGAAAATGTAATAAATCCACTCATCCACTCAGTCGCTAGAAAACCAGACCAATGAACACGGAAACGTTATGCTGGAAGAAGACAATTTGCATTTCCAACAAGATGGAGCTCCACCGCATTACGCTCTTCCCGTTAGGCAATGGCTGGATGAAACATTTCCTGGACAATGGATTGGAAGGAGAGGTGCCCAAGAGTGGCCGCCAAGATCACCGGATTTAACACCCTTAGACTTCTTTCTTTGGGGGTACTTAAAAACTGAAGTTTATAAAACTCAGCCAGAAAACATTGATGATCTAAAAGCTAGAATAACTCAAACATGTAGACAGATCCCTCGGGAAACATTTCAAGTCCGGCAAGAATTTGAAAATAGAATGTATTATTGTTTAGCAAATAATGGAGCTCACTTTGAGCATTTAATAAAATAATTTTCTGATTTTCTGTCTACTTCTTTTAATCATTACAGAATTAATTTATGCCTTATCTCAGAAACGGATCAAACATTTTAATTAGTGTGTCATGCATTATTTAAACACTAATTATCTTAAAATTGCTGTTAAATTTGGACAAATTTGAACAAAAATAGTGTAATAATAGGTGGTGGGAACTTTTCAAATTGACACACGCCTAACTCGGCAACGCAACACCCAAATTTGAAAAATAATATGCCAAAATATAGAGAATAAAAAGCCCTTTGAAATGAAGTATCACTCGACCCCCTTTCTCATTTAAGATTTTTGTAGGGGTGGCTCTGGAGGGTAGGGGGTTATAGGGGGAGAGCTAATTTATACGTCAAAATTGTTCCCCCTCAAAAACAAAATTGACGGGTCTCGGCGATTTAAAAAAAAATATAAATATATGGAAATAATAGGGGTGGCAAGTTTTGAAATGAAAACCCTGTATATATATATATAGCACATAGTTATGGTGCCGGATTAATGAACTTGGAGACCCGGAGCTATGTGATATTTTGGGGCCCCTTATTTTTTATTTTTTAAAGCTGGATTTATAGTTGGACTTAGACGTAACGTAGACGCACTGCAAAAATATCAAATTTTTGCACTCTTGTTTATAAATTAATGTAAACGCAGACGGAACGAAAAAGTTGGCAAACTTTCTCCTTTTCTGTTCCGTTTCTTGCGTCTGTCACTTGTTCGACATAATTCTAAAAATGTTGGCAAATAAAAAAAATAGTACCAAGAACTGATATCAAAAGACGTTTTCTGTCCATTACAAAAAGAGCGAAAAAACGTCGATTTATAAATTGTCTCCAGTGCGTCTGCGTTTACGTTTTGTCAAACATATAAATTAAGCTTTAGAAATAATGATTTTTAAGCGACGACAATAAATCATAATAATTCAAATATCCGAACGTTAACACTTGCTAAAATTATCCCAAGACCAAAAATATCGATTAAACTTTAAGGAGCTTTAACATTTATCACTTAGCTTTTTCCAATTCCACTTTTCTGGCCTTAGCTTTTTCCAATTCCACTTTTCTGGCCTTAAGCCGCGCAAAATCTTTAATTATATCTTCATAGTCTATGTTATTTACTAAATCGGTTTCAATAAATAATAACACATTGATTGCAGGCGATTTTTTTATTAGTGCTAGCTTTCAAAAACTTCGTTCGTTCTATATTTAGAAACACTTTGCACAATTCACTTTTCAGTAAAAGATGATACAATTAACTTCCTGAACTTTGTTAAGATGTATTGGCAATACTGCCCACGTGTAAGAAATCCATGCAGTAAAGGATGTAGGAAATTAAAAATTAAACGAAGGGAAAATTCACGTTTTTTAAAAGAAAGAGAAGGAGTAAATTAAAATAGATTGGTATTGGTAGTATAACTAGTTTTAAAGGCCACAATCATTTGAATCGCCGTAGCCCCCCTTAATCCGGCCCAGCAGATACCGTCTTAAAATGTCCACTAAGCCCTTCAAATAATAATTTGTAATTATTAATATACGTAGGTTGTTGCCAAAATTTAAATTTGGACTTAATCTTAAGGACTCTTGAGATTAAAAATATTTTAGCCAACAAAAAATTTACTGCTTAATTGAATTAAAATAACAACTGAGCTAGCTCTGAAAATTGCGAACGTTATGAAATAAAATTTTATTAAGCCATTTATAAGCCATTAAAAGTGTTTACAATTCAACTAATGCCAGATTAAGTAATACATCGCATTAAACAAAGGAACCGAAAGATTAAATTTGTTATTAAAATATATTTTTCAGTGCGCCAACATGATATTTCAGCAGCTACTCAAGTTGATCGTTCCTGTTCTGTTAATTTTTTTAAGAGGTAAGTGGTATTTAAATTTAGTTTTAGAAACAAGTAATATTTGTGATAAGTATTTAATCTGTAAATTAGGTTTTTTTTTATAAATACAAGGTGATATTTTTATATTTAAATCATAAAATTATTATATAACAATTTTATGATTTGTATAAACTGACTAAAATATAAAAATTATATAATCTAAAATTCGGGACTTTTCTTAAATAACATTTTATCTGCGTATAATGCTTATAATATATAAAAAATGCAAATAACCAAAAAGTTTCATTGAACTAAAAAACATTATCTAAGTACTGTTTTATAGAAAAACCTTACGGTATATTATAAAAATTAAATTAAATATGATTTTTACGACAAATATTAAAAAAACTAATAAAACAATAAACATGTAAGCTTTTTTGGACATAATATTTAAATTATATTTTAAGTAAACCCACTACAAAACAATTTTTTTTAACAAAATCCAAAAAAGTTTTTAAAATGTGTTGAATAAGGTAAAGTTTTAAGATTCTTAATTTGTACTCGGTTGAGATAAAGCAATTATATTAAATTTTGTTTAAGTTAAAATTACATTGCTACTTAACATTTGTTATAAATCAAAAATGAGGATAATCATTTTAATCTTACTGATATATAGATCTTAGTTATTTATAGTATATATTTTAAATTATAAAAATATTTATTATCAAAAAAGTTTAATACTTTTGATTCTAAATAACCAAGATTTAGGGCATTAAATATATCTATTACGTGTTGTTTGTTAAACCAGTATATTGTCGATACTTATTTAATTAAATTATTATTTTTACCGAATAAAGATTATCAACAAACAAAACTTCTGTTGAAATTTTATAAAGAAACACGGATTTACAGATTCCACCTTTGCAAACCATCTTATAAATGACAACCATAATTTTAATTCTAACTTTAAAATCTTACATATAGAAAACAAAAGTTTGAAACTGAATTTATTAGAGTCCATGGAAATAAACAAATTAAAGAAAGTAACTGATATTATTCTCAATGACCAAATAGATACCAATAATTCCCCGTTATTAAACTTATTTTAATATATTTAAAAAGTTTTGTGTTATATAACTATAAAGATTACAGGGCATTCCCACAATTATGTTTCCTTTAATGTATAACGCTTAATTAATCTACCCCCAATATTGTACTAAGGTTTTTACCTGTTAAAACCATCAGTTATATAAATAGAAAATTAATATTAGTTTGGATAACATCTGAAGATGCTACTGTGTAGCGAAACAATTGTTATATTTAAATAAAAAAGTGAAACTTTTAAACAGTGTAGTTTATATTAACATATTATTAACATGGAGTTTCATCAAGTAAAAGTCGAAACAATTAATTATACTAGTAACATTTTTAATAATAACCATTATATTTAATTATATATATATTTAAAAAAAAAAGTAAAAATAACTTAATTATTGTCGTGTTTAATTTGTTTTTGCATGATGTTTTATAAAATTTGTATTAAATTGTATGCAGTTTAAAAACACAATTACATATTAAAGATACAAAAGAAGCGCATTGCAGTATTTTAATGTTTTATACTTTGCAAAAGGAGAGTATAATATTTTAATTTTAATTATTAAAAGTTTACCAGCAGCGATAAATTTTAAATGACAAGCTTATTATTTTAAAATGAAGAAAAATTCAGTTTACTGATATAAATATAACTTTACTTTGTATTTGCTTCGAATTTTTAACTTTTATTTATTTTGATTTCCCATTTTATTTATGATAAAAATGTGTATAAGGCAGTAAGAAAACGAAATTAATTAAAGCTTTTTAGTTATACTTTTTTACAACCCTGGTTCAAATTTCGCATAAAGTCTTAATTTACAGTATAAATAATAAAACATCGATACATAAACAGGTAAGATAGACTGGAAAACTTTCTATAGCTTAGTAAAAGTTTTACCGAAGACACTGAATACTCCCCAAAGAACAACCTGTAGTGGTTCTAAAACTATTTTATAACTGCCACTTAAGAAAACCACTTTAAGCACTACAAATAGACTATTTCAGAAAGGGTAAACTGATAAAATAAAGTTTTTTAAAAACAAAATCAAATGAAGAAAAAAAAACTATTCTTCTAAATAAATTGAAAATAACTTTTTAAGTATTTAAGTCAAAAGCTGTCCTTAACAATAAAACTTGTAAATAAATTAAATCAGACCAAAATATATTATAATTACAATAAATATTACTTATGTATTATAATAAATTATAATACCTAAGTAATATTTATTGGACGTAGTTTGTAGGCCCATAGTTCACTATCCTTTGGCTTTGGTATAAGTAATATAATTACTAATATCATATTAGTAATATGTATTTGGTAAGGAGTTTCTTTTACTAATATTATGTAACGCTAATATAGGTAGTCCTACTAAAACTACTTCTTTCAAAAGTTTAACCGTTGAGTATTCAATGGTTTGACAGTGTAAATTTGCAAAAATAAAGTGCGGTAAGGTACAATAAATTTTGAATGGAATGCGCAGTGACTAAAAGCCCATAAAACCACAACTTGTCAATGTGTATTTAAAAGGTCATGAAAACATGTACGATAATAGGCGTTTTAAAGGTGGGGGTATAAAACAGATTTTATTTGATTTTATTAATAATATGAAAATAATCACACTATAAAAATAAACAGGTATGCGCACAGTGTATTATGCAAACTTTTAAACTTAATTATAGTCCATTCCATTTAAGAATAAAGTAGATGTCGCTGCAAAACGAGACAGGTTTACACAGGAGTACGCGGCAAATTTAAATATAATGGCAGATGTCGTTGATAGAATATTATTATGTTACAACAAATATGGACTAATCATAGCAACCTTGAATGTATTATACCATAAAAAAATAATTTACTATACCAATTAAGACCTTTGAACACAGAAAAATACATGTATTATATTATTTTCAGAAAATAAGAAGAAATAAACATTTATTTGAGCAACATAACCTCTATTATTTAACTGCATTTCTTATTTAAATGTCAGTTCATTTTATTGATGTGGAAAATAATACATATTTTAATGTTTTAGTAAATTTTTATGATTTTATAATATAAAAATTTAGTAATTAACAAATAGACCGAGTTTTATTAAACATGTAAGAAAAATTAAATGGTAAATGAACGGAAAAAATTAATTTTTTCTTTGATAAAGTATACATGGCTGATTCTCAAAAAAAATCTAAATTTATGTCCTTGATGATTCCTGTGAAATGGGATCCTAAGTTATGGTTAAGTTAGATTTTTTTATGAAACTACATCACTAGCCGTACCAAATTATGAAACATTTATTTATTTTATCATAAATAAAAAATATATGTTTAAGTAAATACCCTAAAAATCCTTTCCTCATTGTGTCCCAACCGCCAAATTCAAATAGATTTACAAATATAATTTGAAAAGTTTCGTATAAACTATCAGCTATCATATTATTTATTTTCATATAATAGTACTGGCTGTACATAAATGTATATATAGTTTAGAAACCGCAAACGGAAAAAGCACAAAATATATTTTTAAATTTGTCCTTAAAAAACGAATCATTTCCTCACAGTTGTGTAACAGTGGGATTGGAACATAATTTTAAAGTATATTGAACACAGCATTATTGTTTTCAGAAGTTGGCAATATTGATACTAAAAAAATATGACAGACTGAACTGTCAGTGCTAAGATTTTTTGTTAAATCTGTATTAAAGAAAAACTTTTTCGAATTTAAATTTTTGGCCGTCATTTCCTCACACTGTATTGTAAAAAGGTAAGCGCTTATTTATGTACCAATTATCATATATTTGTATGCGTTTCTGGGAGTAATAAAGTATCGTACAATCGCATAGAAAAGTAAGGTTATGTTTCCTATTTTTGTGCCATAATGTTTAATTTTGTCATTCCCTCATCGTCATTCCCTCATACAAATTTTTGGTGGGGGAATGACGAATATGTGAGGTAATAACATCCTAACTAATACAGGGTGTTTTACGTTCGTGGTCCATTAGAAGTTTATGGGGAACGGCAAAATATATCGATTTGAAATTTTAAAAACCTTTTTAATTCAATTTAGACTATTTTTTAAAATGCCATTTTTAGTTTTACCGAAAATGGCATTAACCACAGATGAATTATACCTAACTATGTTATTTCAAACAGAACACCCTGCATATTTTTACATTTTTAATATGTGAAGAGATAGAGATATGTATACAGGGTGTCCCACAATTAGTGCGACAAAATGAAGGTGTATTATCTACAGACCCCCAGGAATTCCAGAAAATTGTTTAAAAAATTCTTCCTTCATTATTTAAAAAGATACAGGGGAGTCATATTTTCTTTATATGGCAACAATGCTTCAAAAAAAGGGGATAGTTTAATTCTTAATCACCATGTTAACATTGTTGTTTGTTGTCATGATGATTAAAAATTAAACTATTACTTTGTAGATACAGGTAGATAGGTCTAGTTTATGGACCAAAGAGTAACATGACTATAACTAACTGAAATTGATAAATAAATCTAAATTATATTTGGTTTGTGGATGGGTTAATGTTGAAACGATCCGGGGCAAAATATGTTAATAAATGCAAAAGGGTTATGGTTGCTTGACTTGTTTTAGGTTGCCATACGAAGAAAATGGCAAGAAATAAGAAATTAACGGAGGTAGAAGCTAAATTAAAGAAAAAAGAATACGATAGAAAGCGAAGGGAAAAAACAAAAGGTTGTGCTAAAACTTTAGAAAAACTTCGAGAAAAAGAAAAACTTAAATATTTACTGAAAAAAGAAAAAGGTCAAGTAAAGCTTGTAGGTGATATGAATTCAAGAGAAAAACGACAAAAAAGAAAACAATGGAAATTAAATAGTTCAGTTTATAGAATTAAAAAAGCGAATTTACGTAAAAATCTTAGATTACTGGATGAAACGCCACCTGCTAGCCTAGCACCATTTGCAGAACCTAT